ATGGTGTCGCGGGGGGACGGCCCGCGGCGCGCCCAGCCGCGCGCCGCGGGGTCTGCTGAAGCGTTTCGGTAGAAATAATACGGAAAAGCCTCTGCCCAGCAAACCTCCTCCACCCTTTCCTTCTTGTTTTCTTTTGATCACGGACCGTTCTCCCATGCCTTAAAGAACAACCTTTTAAATGCGGCACTGCTGCCGCGGCGGGTGCTTTTGCACCTCCCGGCAGGATGGGGTCTGGGCTCATCTTCTCAGAACTCTGGCACTCTTCAGGCTTTGATCCTGCACCATCTAACCCTTCAGCAACTATGTAAAGAGCCTTTGCAGGGGCATTGAAGTGAATCAGTTTTTATGGTTTGCAGCTGGAAATAAGCTTTGTATGTATTTTGGGAGTGTCTGGATCCATACAGAAATTTCTTGGTTTATTTAAGACGTGGTTCAGTAGGGTGCTGCTCAGCACCTGAGAGGTGCCAGGTACCTTCAGTACCCATGGCCTTTCAGCATCCGGCAGGGTCGTTCCTGTGTGTCTGCAGTCGGAAAGGTTCATGTCATAATGGTGCCGGCAAATTTCATAGGCTTCATCTGTCTAGTTATACCCTGTCGTAACATCAGCTCAAACTGGATTACCCCTCAGTTAAATTTATTTAGTTTGTGTTGTAAATTATTGGACAAACCTAAAGTGACCACCTGGGGGTTAAATAATTTATGTGCGTCTACACATGGGTTTCTGCTGGTTTAACTATATGCATTTTTAAAAACTGGAACGCTTCTGGTTCATGCATGGCCTTGATATATGCAGTTTGATACAGTGAAATGCTTGAATAATCATCTAAGTACTGCTGAGCTGTAGCTGAGCTGCTGGTGCCTGTGCTAAGAGGAGTGGGTACAACACCAGAAGAGAAGGATAAAAGCAGAACCAGCCAACACAAACCCATGATAATTATTAATTTGACACAATTTTGTGCATACTCACTGCTAATTGAATCATGTTGCTACTGTTTTTTTATTTTTTTGTTTTCTGAATTCTTTCAGGCTGTATTTTTCTGTGGATTCAAATAGCACAGTGAGAAGCCCTGATCACGGCATCTTGATTTTATTGGAGCAAATGTAAAATGATGCCCACATTTTCTGGCAAGGCAGGCAGTTCACTTTCCTTGCGTTATCAGATGATATTTTTACTCTCCTGGCTGCCCTCTCTTGTTTGCATGTCGGACCAGCTGTCTGTTGCCCCCACTGGGATAATCCGTCTAGCTTGCAGCCTGGTCCTTCGTGCACATCTGAGCTGCTCCAGAGAGATTTGACTGCTGCTAAAAGAATGGTAGAGGTAGATTACAGTTTAGGCATCCTTGCTTCAGAGCCACTTTAGCTGTGTTAAACTGTTAGCGTCATTGACCTTATCAGTATCCTAGTCACTTAGTCTGGTAGTCTGGGAATCTCCTGAACTTCCTAAATTCATGTAGACAGGCCTTACAAAACCTTGGGGTTTTGAGATCTTTGCCTCTCCTTGCTATTAAAGTTCACCCAGACTTTCATCTTCTCACCTAATTATTCTTGCCTATCCTTCTGGCTTTTATTATGTCCATCTCCTATTCAAAGTGCTGGTGCTGATGATATTTCCTGGCATGCCGTGCTCTCCGTGTTAGCTTTCTGTAGGTCTCTCAGTTGTCTTTATCTTCCATTGTGTTGAATTCAGGTTTCTCGTATCGTAAGGCCTTTTACAGTTCTTTCTATTCCTGCTCATTATTTTGTTTCTTACTGAATTTTACCCTCCACTTTGTCTGCTTCCTGTGTACTTGCATTTGTTTCCTTCCTTATAGGTACTATGTGATTTCTGAATTAATGTTTAAAATCACAAACCCATCTGTGTGTAAAGTTCCTCAAAACAAAACATGTTACTACACATTATATGTGAGGTAATCATAGTCCGAAGGGAAATACTTTCTGTAACCTGGATGTTGCGACCAAGATTTGAACGCAAGAGCATGTAGTTCTGCAACTTTGTACTCTTCCGTTCATTTGTTAACCATGCCTGTTGGTTATGTCTTGTTTTGCAAGCTCTTTGGTAAAGGTAGCGTGTGCTGTGATACTTGGTCAGGAAGAGTAGTTCAGATTTGGCTGGAATCTCTTGGTACCGTAATAACAAAAAGTAATTTTTTCCCTGTTGTTCTAAATGCACCCCGGCAAGAGTGTGACAGAGATTGCTTCCAGGGAAAATTCAAAGCAAGTTATTTATTGCTGGGTAGCATACTTGTATTGGATGCAGTTTATAGTGGGGGAAAAAACTATCAGTGCCTTAAAAGAATGTCGAATGTTAATGTTTGAGCTACTGTAAAGGATGATTTAGCGCTTTAAAAACAAATCCACCCCCCTCCCCCATCTTTTAAAGTTGGTTAATTTATTTCTCTATTCTCTTTGTCTTGCTCAGTTAGGACAGTGTGGTTAGATGCTGGCTGTGTTTGGCCAGTTGGGGATTTTCTAATCCCAGGATAGGGGAACCTTCCTCTGGGATAAAGCTGAACTGTAGGTAATTCCTGTGTTTTGTCCTTGTGCCTGTGTGGCGGAGATAGAGGAGTGATGTGGTCATATCATGGCATTTTGTGGGGCTTTTGGGTTGTTGCCAGTTGGTATACGTTGAGCAGTCTCTGGAAAAAAATGGTTGTGGATGGATCAAATACTCTTGCACCGACCAGAGAAGGATGAATGATGTAGGTTTGTAAATGCTGTTTAAAGCTCTGGTCTTTCAATTCGCTGGGGGTGGTTCTGCTGCTGCAGTTACATTAGGCCTCACTGATTTCAGAGGGGTTTTGTTGAAGCGAGTACTTAGGAGCGGGGCCTGGAGTTGCTGGCTTCCAGAAACAACTCTTGTGTCAATTCATCACCTGCCAGAGTGACACGTGATCTTGCCTTGAGTTTATGATAAAATTGTAATGTTGGTGATGTGTATGTTTGTCCTATAACGACCAAATTCATGCGAAATACAGCTCCTCCAGATACGAGCAGTCTTAACAGAAAACAGACAAATTAATCTAACAAGTTCTATTCCCTGAACTGAGACTGAGGCAGTGTGAGGGAGATGCATGTAAGCCACGGTAGTGAGTGTATAGTCGTATTTCTTTACTGTATTTTGGTACATGGGGGACTCTTGTAAATATTTTTGGCGTAATCTGTTAAAATTTTGTTTCCTTTAAACAGGACTGGAAGAATAAAGAGAAGTTTAATTTATGAGAACTATAAGAAAGCTTACAACAATTTGGAATGGATTGATTTATGATACCTCTGATATGTGAGAGCTACATTTTGTGTCGCTGTTGGCCAGCTGCTGCTGGTGGACTTCAGCTGACTTCATTGCAGCAAGCCCAACAGATAGGTCCTCATCGCTAATAAAACATAAACAAGTGTGATGCTGAAATGAGATGAGGCTCCGAAATGGAACTGTGGCCACCGTGTTAGTTTTCATCACTACTTTCCTCAGTTTGTCCTGGTATACTGCATGGCAAAATGGGAAAGGTAAGTAAAAGGCTCCAAAACCAAACTGACCTTCACGTGGCTGCATGGCAGAGGAATGAATAGTACAGGCGTGTGCACTGCTGCTGTATGTTAGCAATTTGTAAATTGCTTGTTGACTAGCTCTGCTCCAGAAGGTATTGCCTTGGTGAGGAATAAACACCTGCAATAGATTCAGGAAAATTAACTTGGAGTGATCCTGATTTAAAAAGAAAAATAATGTACCTGAAGAAAAACAAATGCTGCTGTTGGAGGAAGGGGTTGGTCCAGGCTGAATAGTTGTGTTTTGGGGTTTTTTTTCCTGGTTTATAGTTGTTGGAAAAACGTATGGTCTCATTTTTTGTTGCTGTTTGTTTTTTTGTTGCTGTTTGTTTTTTTGTTGCTGTTTGGTGGGGTTTTTTCCTTTTTTTTTTTCCCCATGTAACATATGGCCAATGGACCTGGCTGGAGAATGTTATTTTTGGTGCTGCTTTCTGTCTTTACTGATGATTCAGTGATGGCAGTGGCAAACTGCCAGTCAGCATTGTTGAAAGACTTCTCTTGCTGTCTTTGAATGAAATGTAAAATATTTCTTGTCTGAGTATGATATAAGAAATAAAGTAATATTTCCCAGGTAATGGGAAATGCATCTATTACAATAACATGAGCAATCTCATGAAATAATCAAGTAACTATTGTGTGTAATAGACTTTTACCTTTTTATATATCTTTGTTGATCTTACTGCACTCCATTGTGAACCTTGGAAAATTCAGCTTTTCTGAGGGTCAGGACTGTTTACTGCAAGTAAGATGTTTCGGTTTTGTCCTTCAGTAAGGCAAATAAACTTGTTCAGCAATGGTTTCTAGAAGAAGAAAGGTTTTGTTTTGGGTTTTTTTCCTTTATGAACATCTGATCTCTTGAAACGTAGTAGACTATGTCCTTCAAAGATCAAGTAATTTTAAAACACATATTCTGTCTTAAGTGAGATTGCTACATGGTTTGTTCTGACTGTTCTGCTGAGAATATTATCTTCAGTTGTGCCTCAGGTCCAGTAAGAGGAAGCTGGGGTTTTCCAGGAATACTGTCTGTTGTAGCACAGATGACTTGTAATCCTTATTTAAATATAAAAGCAGCAGATGAGTTCTGTGGCATATTGAATTTTTTTTTTCCCATTGGGCACTTGTCGGAGAAGCAGGTGCTTTGTGGTGTGACCTCTGCTGTAGCAGTTGATCGGTAGGCTAGCCTGCTGAATGTAAGCAGCAGGAAAAATGTCAGGTTCTCAAGGTTGTGGTAAGATGTAGATTAATTGGACAACAAAAGTGTAAATGTGCCAAAGACTGACAAGAAAAGGATATCTGAACAGCACTGTAAGTAGTATTTTCTTCATTTTGGCTAATACCACATTCTATAGTTAAATTTTTACGTTACTGATTCATTTCTTGCTGAAGAACCTCACAAGAATTTTGCTTTCACTTCAGCAAAGATATATATCTATGAAATTCTTTCTCATGCTTTTTTTCTTTCTTATTTGACATATGATTTACAAGTCTTGTTCTCTTTTGTCTAAGTGTAACGCAAAGAAAAGTCTTCATTAAAAGAAATGAAAAATCTGCTATTTGGAGAGTACTAGTATATATAGCACTTAGTGACAATTTAAGCTTTTGTTGGTCAGACTGCTCTATTTTTTTATACTTTTTATTTTTCCATCTGAATGCTTAGAATCAATACTTTCTTAATGTTGGTATAAAAGTTCTGCATTTTTCTTCTTCCAGATCTTGCTGTTGAGCATTAAGATAGTAATTTGTTAAATAAAAATCAGTGTAACAAGACATCAGTAATGTGTTAATTAATCATAAATCACAGTTATGAAACTACAGTCTAGATAATTTGCTCTCAAGGTGTTGCTTCAAGAGAAATTTATACATAGAATATTGTTTTTTAAATTTTATTTTACTTTTTAACTTATATTTAGCATTTATTAATTTGCTCAGATTGTCTAAAACCAAAACAGATTTGAGTTAATTTAGTACCACATTTTCAATCAGAGACATTTCTGCAGCAATGGAAAAGGTTCAGAAACTGAGAATATGTATGTATTAATACTATTTTTTTTCCAAGTTTGATATCACTTTATGTTTATTTAGTAAGCCTTGCGGGATGTTACCTTAATTCGTTGGTAACATTTTCATTACAAATTGAGTGGCTCAATAAGAAGCAAATATAGTGCTTGCTGTTCCCTTTCACTGAAAGGCTATGGGGTGTCACATGCTCTGGTCATCATCTTTTGTAATTACATTTATATGGCATGCACTAGATTCCTGTACATATTTGTCAGTCTTTGGACAGCAAAGTAAATCTATACTTGGAAAGAAAATACTATTTACATTTTTTAAAAGAAAAAGCAAAACCTCAAATTGCTAGCTTCCTAGTGATAACTAAAACAAATTTTGCTTTTTAAAAGCAGAAGCATAGTGCCTTGTTTCTAACAACCCTAATCCAGTCTTCAAGTGATTAATTCTAATTGAGGAACTAAGATCTTGGATAATTGTCACTTAAAATGCAGAACCATTTGTAGAATAGCAATAAGACTGGGATGATGTGATATTTTTGTCGATCATTTCTTCCTCTAGTAAATATACCTAGTCCCAGTCTATGCAGGATAGGATTTAGACACTTCAAAGCGATACAGACTTTAGTACTAGTTTAAAGTGCAAAAAATTGTCTCTGCAGAACAGTGCTTTACAAACTTCATGGATATGCTGAAAAGTTGTCAGTAGTTGAAGGAAATAGTCTGTCTGAAGTGCCATCACTGGAAACAGCATGGCTTTAGCTTACCCCGTGGTCTGATGATGTAAATAACCTTTCACGGGGCAGATATTGCTATTTGGATGAAATGGCCAATGACATGGTTTTGCTTTTAATGTTAACTGTGTTTGAAGAAGGTTGACTGAAATACCTCTGGTTGTTGGAGAGAGTCTTCAAAATTAAACCAAGATCTTTGTCATTTTCTGGACCCCATGCAATGTCTAGAAGCACTGGAGTTGTAAGGAAGCAGTACAAGCCCTGAATACACCTGGGAAAGACCTCTCCTGTGGGATTCATGAACAAGAGTTGTAAGACTGCTTTCTAGGAGATAAAATTTGCTATGGTTAGCACAAATGAAGTAGATGTTGGAAATCAACTCTTACCAAAATGCAGGTTACTTTGGTGTACAGAAGGAGCACTCTTAAAGGATCTGCAGTCACTTCACATTCACAGTTAGTTCAGTGTAAGATGTCCTTGAATTCCTCCTAAAACTGAGCTCTTATGCAAGTGATAACTTTATGCTTAACACCATGTCTTTTGACTGAATCATGCTTTTTGGTACTACTGACCTGCTCAGGGTCACAGGTCTTCACCACCTCATTTGTGAGCTACAGAAATGTAGTGGGTTTTTTATCCTAAAGGCACTGCTTTTAAGAAGATCTAACCAGTACAAAACAGTACTGCGTACCTATAACACCAGTCCAAAAATTACATCAGAGCTGTTGTGTGCTACGTAGAGAGTGTCATCTTGATGCTTTGATCTTTAATGTGACTAGTGGTCTGAGTACATAACGTTCAAGGAAGAGCATTATGCTCCATAATGCTCAAGAACCTCTTCTTCCTGGGTCAACAACTTCCTGATGCCTGTCACCAGCATGGAAATTGGTAAGGAAGGTAAATAACTTCACTGAATTAGGGCAGGCACAGTAGGATGAAACTCCTCGGCAAAGCATTCATCAACCTCATCACTTTGCTTCCCATGTTGAAGTCCTACTCTGATCCTGCTGCCTTTGATTAAAAAAAAAAAAAGAGCAGTTTTTTGTTTAAAGTGTGCGTGCTTTGTTCTTGGTGATAGACAGTAGTTGGCAGTGTCTTGCGTCATGTTTAGAAGGCATTTGGCTACTTGAAGTGGTGAGGACCTTGTGTATGGAATATGTGTCGTGAACATTTGGTGCAACTTAACCCTTCAGGGTTGTCTAAACTATGTAGTTTTCAGAGCAATCTGAAACTAGTAGTGTATGTCATCTTTTTCCCATGTAAAACGTATTCTTCTTTAACGATGAAGGATTAGTTGAAAAAGCTTGTGTTTTTCAGTTCATCCAAGGGTGGTGTCATAACTGTAGGATCTCTTCACTGGATGAGGATGGCTTATTTTGGTACACTGATTTAAATTCACATGGGAAGACCTCCAAGAAGGCTTTTACTTTTGAGATATTTAACTAGCTTCCTAGTTTGCTGAATATTCCCTCATACTTAAGTGATGATGGTTGGAGCTACTGTTTTGTTTTAAGCATGATGTTTTCTGTCATCTGGACAGAAAATGGCCTGGGCTGTATAATAAAACTGTTGTCGTCTTTCTCCTCTGGCTGTTTTCATAAAATTAGAATTACCACACTGTTTGTCAGCCACAATAATCATAAGTGCTGAAAAATATCTAAACATAACAGCAAGCATAAGAAAACCTAACTGAGACTGAAACAAAAGGCCTCAGCCAATGGTGGAAAATTTTGGAGTAAGAACCAGGAATATTAATACCCGGAGGGAGAAGAGTCCTACAGAACCATGGAGGAAACGGGGCAAGGAGGACAGGAGATATATATATATATTTTTTTTTAATGTTTTTTTTCCTTGGCAGTGGTTATGCAAATATTCTCTTTAAAAATAGATCAGAAATCTGAGAGATACATGTTGGTATTTTGCAACCATAGCCCACCTTAGTTTATGCTTTGATCCTAAGAGAAACTGTTATTTGAGTAAATGCTGATTACAGTCTTCTGGCTGCGCATTCTGATTTTCAGAGTTATGTGCTGATCCACTGATGTGAATTAAGACTGATCAACCAAAAAAGTTAAATGGCCTACAAACTGGGAGGAGTTGGAGGCAGGGGAAGAGAAGGGACGGGACGGGACGGGACGCTGAAGTAGAAAGTGCATGTAACAATTTATGCCAGTTAGCTTGTTTGGGGGAGAAGAGAGGTCTTCTTTTTCTTTTCTGTTAA